TGCACCAATCCGGAGGAATGAATTTTGTGCGCGCCTCGCCTTGCGTTTGTTAATCAATTTTGATGGCATTTGCCGGTCAATGCAAAGGTCTTGATTACTTTGCACATTGTTCCCGTTTGCCAGTTTTGTTGTCAATTTTAAAATCGTGTTCTTTGAATCGAATTTTGTTTTGAAAAAAACATTGGTGTCGTCGAAACAAGTTAACTGACAGGTATCCTTCAATAAGAGAAATTGACACTGCGCTTTATTAACTAGTCTTCAATTCACTTGTGACCATTGAGTTACTAAAATTCCCCGCAGGATTTCTTTTCCAAATTATTTTGGTTCTCTTTCCAACAATCTTCTACTTTTCAATGCATTTGGCAAAATAAACTTTCGGAACTCTGGAGAGTTGGTTTTCGGTTTTTGTGAAGATCAGCCGAGAGTGCTAGACCCCTGTTCTCTCCTTTTTTCTTACACACTTTATTGTGATAAACACCAGACGGGGACCTGCTGTTCAGTGACGGAAACCACTAATTGAAACCCCTAGACTTGGAGTGGCCAGCCGCTAAAAGGTCCCGCTTCGCTAGGCATGGTTTTGAATCAGACGGTGGCACGACTGCCTACTGACCAACTTTGTGCACTTTTTGCTCTGTTGCTGTTCCCATCCCAACAAGAATTAGTTACCTGATGTCTGATGCATTTCGTCAGTTGTTATACGCAACCACCAAAGCATAAACAAACACTGAACTCCCTTTTCGTAGAGAATAACTGGAATTATGGTGCATGTCATGTGTAATCTGGCACTGGGGGTTTTCGGCCGAACCGATTGTCCAGATTGTTGAAACGTAATTCAAGGATTTAATTAAGTCATGTATGTGTTATTCTTGGCTTTTGATCGTGTGTCCCCGACATACAAAACCACTGTTTGAATCTGATTCTGCTCCAAGCAACACTCACGGACTAGAAATTCAACCAAATGTGACAAACAAAGGATAAAATTAAAACAAACTAAATCTCCGCACTAGCAACACTGGATAGCAAGAATCCGTTGGGTGGTCGATCTGAAACGAAAGTGATTGCATCAAACCATCGATCTAATGAACTCGCGAGACCGCAATCACATAATTGATAGCGCAGTGAAATCTCGCGGGTGGTTGTGTTCCTTCCGTTCGCTTCCGTGTCATACAGTTTGTAATTGCTTTTATTCCTCGTTCTACTCCGTCTCACAATTCGTTTTACCATATTTGTGTACATAAACGAATCAAGAATTGCTATTCAATACACTATTTTTTTTATCATGGCATCGGTTTTGATACCTTTTGTCCAAAAACCAGATTCGGGCAATCGATCAGTTAGTCATGTGATCCACAATAAGCATTGATCAATCCATTTGCCCAATCAGGTTTCGGAACGTACGAAAAAACAAGAAGAGATGGAACGTGAACTAAGTCAACGAATGGCTCAGCTCAATGAACAACTTACCATACAACTGGCTGCGTACGAGAAGGATCGACGTCAGTTCGATGAGGATCGTGCATTGTGGGAGGCTGAGAACCGCGATGCCCTGGATGTGAGTAGTGCTATGCGTCCAGGCTCACCTGTTTCACATTTTGTCAGGCTACCAAAAATATTAAAAATAGGTCATTGTGTCATATTATTCTGTTTTTTTCTTTTTGTTCATTTGATTTCTTCGATCCACTTATTTCTGTGCATGTTTAACAACGTATCGGATGTACTCAGAAAATCAGTGTAAATGATCTGATGATCCAAAGAACGGTGATTCGAACTGCACATGCACGGNTCAGGCCAAACTGAAACCATATCGAAACACCACCGCCATCTTGTGGCACGGTTTCGCAAATTCAGATCCACGGCTGAACGAATGTTTGTTACCATTCTGTCAGAGTTGCTCAGTTTCCTAATTCGATGGACCTCACCTCGAGTCGTCGGATTAATAGTTACTCCAGCTCACAGAGCAATGAAGCGGTTCTTTAGTCCATGCCCAATCGGGTCGGCGACTATATGCTCCGGAGTACTTGAGCAGTTCATTTGTCTTATCGTGCGTGGTTCGGAATCAGGATTTCTCGTAATCGGATACCGGATCCCATTGTGTAGACACTCCGAAGTGCCAACATACTTAGTGCCTGGTGGATTGCTCTGTTTAGTCAGGTTCTCAGAGTGAATCATTCTCCTACGGGAATCTGTTAAAATAAAATTGGGTCCACTCAACGGCGATTGTTGTGCTCTGTCCGTACAGTGTACCTGTTTTCAGGCTATTGAATTCTCCATGCTAATCATTTCTTGCTGTAGTGCACAGTATGTGGTATTTTGTATCTCATAACTGCTCTACTGGAGTACAATCAAAATCAGGGTCTCTTCCATGTGTTTCCCGTTTACAAGTTCTATTTGCAGTTGTATGAAGTAGGTTGTAGAAAAACCTTTGCAGACTTTAATTAAACACCGTTGGTTATTCAGTTTGCGGTGCGTTTGTTGTCTATATGCTTTGTGCGCACCCACGCGTAGTCGAAGGTGTATGCTTCAAACGCAAGCTGAAAAGTGAATCAAAATGCTCAACTGAGCGAGAACAATGCTGCCTGTCATCATCTCGCTTCCGAGTGTCACTCATCAATGGGTGCCCCGGGAGGGATCCGCTCGTGTACAAGCTTAGTGTGCGCGTCATCCTGAGCGGCCTCATGTGCATCAAACGCGTATGGCGGTACAACTGTAGTAACATCCGTTGTTCTCTCACACACCTTTCCTCCTTCCGTGCATCCAACTGATTTTCGGCCGCTTGTTTCATGTCAATGCTTTGTCCTAAATTCGTACATGTGCGATGTAATAATACGCTGGGCTTGTTCCAGTGTGTGATATGTGTTTCTCTCACAGCATATGGTGATGATGATGGCATGCAATGCAATATGCAATGGAAAAGATGAATTTCGCAGGTATCATTCTGTGGCCTGATCTCTCCACTAACCGCAGACGGGTTCGCTAACCTCCGGTCAGATAGCTCGCCTATGCTACTGTGAGGTCTGGCCTAGTTATCTGCTCTGACCCACAGAGCTTGTTATCGGTCCCAATAGGTGAATAGCAGATCCAAACTATCATGGGGTTTACTTCTGTTGGTCAAAATCAGAGAAGAGAATCTAAAGAACAAGAATAACTGCGATTTTTGTTTGTTACAGCGCTACATGAGATAGGAGAGAAATCCAGGTTGATGTTGGGTCTGCTAAACATTGAAATGGTTGGTTACAATCGGTTGTTAACTACACCATAGTCTGATTCTTTTACACTCACTTTGCGATTGCACTTGTATTATCTGCTTTTC